ATTATCAAGCGCTCCTAATCAAGATCCCCATATGCCAATTTTCAAAGGGATCTGAGCAATTTTTTTTCTGCCGCCAACGAACGTTTCTATGACGGCCATATTTGAAAATGGCGAAAAACAAATTTTGAGCACAAATAGACTATGAAATTTGTATGGCGGCCATTTTGTTTACTGGAATTTGGAACATTTTTTACTTCCCGCGGAAATTGACCATAAAATTGCACAAAAATCCCCCCATATAGTTTTTGTAGGCGGTTGATCACTCGTTAACATTTTCATTTTCCACATTCAGGTCTTCTCATATTTGATTCTTTGCCTTGGAGCCTATCCGCGTACAACGGTATAAATACATTTTTTCCACCATATCGGGAAGTATGCGTTCTATTTTTCTAAGTGAGTCAGGATTTGTAGCTTTATATATATAACTAGATGGCGCGCGTTGCTTATACCTTGTGGCAAATTGGGACTTGAACTTTATATTTCAGTACAGAATCCTCTTTGGTTGAGTTTGAGTGGAAGGGAGCTGCGAAAATTCAGAAAAGTCAATTGTTTATGGCGGCCATCTTGAATTTGCCATATTGGAAAATTTTTGATCCCGGTAGAACCTGTCCAGGGTCCTTAACAAATTTTGTTTGAAAGCCATATACGCATGTCTGACGATTTGACCGGGCCGTTTATTACGGAGACCAGGTCAACTTGGACGTTGCATGTTGCGCTGGGCCCGCGAAGGCTAGTGATTTTAAATGTATGAAAAATTTCGTCGGTCGGTTGGTGATTTATTTCTTTAGGTTATTTGGGAAGGAGGGAGCAGGGTAGTTAATATGATCGCGACAAGTCGTATCCTTATATAATTCAGAAGAAACCATTCGTATATCATCAATAGTTACGAAGATTTAGTAAAGTCAATTTTTACTTGGCGGTCATCTTGGTTTTGCCTTATGGGAAAATTTTTGGTTCTGGTAGAACCTAATTAGGGTCCTTGATAATTTTTGTTGGAAAGCCCTACACCCATCTCCGACGCTTTGGCCGCGCAGCCGGGGTCCCACCTGATGCAGTCCATTTTTCGAAGGTTTCGGATTTTTCTGGCACTCACCGGAGCCGTGGTCGGATACCACGACTCCCGTACATCATTTTTACCCACCGCTACTCCTTCTGGGAGAACAACTATGTCAATGAGTGACTACATCAGTGTTAATCGAGCTATGCATAATATAGTAATAATATGTCACATAAAAAGGCGAAAGTAGAACGCTCGTGCGCTGCTTAGCAATTTCAGTTTGCAAATTACAGCAAGTCACATTAGCGCATTCGACTCAAAAAGGAATCGTGCAAATAATTATGTGGATTCTTCATCTCCTTCGTGCCTGGTGCACTTTGCTTGAACTGTCATCATTTCTAACTGTAATTTGAGTTGTGGTTTCATAATAGGCGAGTGTGGTGGGAAGCATGCCTCGCATAATCTGTTTAATACGGTAACATAAAGGTTGATATTTTCAAATATATTTCACTAAAGGTAAATGTATATGTATATACATTTATTTATATTTTGTATAGTACATATATTTAGTATAATATTTAATAGAAACTTACAGTAAAAGCAATAAATCGCTCGATAGCGTCGCGCGTCGTGTTTGGCTCAACCCCTCGATGGAAGGCAAAAGCGTGCGCGAGTTTCGTGCCATCTTCGCAGACGAGCATCGCTACGTATGATCACGTCGAACCCAGGAATTTGTTAAGTTAAAAGGTCAAATCTAGCGCAATAATAGTACTTACCAACAAATACAGCCGTGGAATTGTGTGTAGGGTCGTATGGGCAGTGGCCGGTGCCGTCGAATTCCTCTAAGTGTGTTTTAGGTTGCGGTCGTGAATACCGTCTGCATAGAGGTTTGTACGCGTTGGTCCCACACACCAGTATGCTTCCGTGTGATCGCGCTGCTACGCGAGGGTAGTTTTGACACTCGTCTGAGGATTTGCCTTTCAGCTGGCACAATTCCCTGTGTGCGACTGTTGACTGCCATTCTATTCTCTGTGGACAATTTTTATGAGATTTTTGTAAACCAGTAGCAACAAATAAAGTTAGAAATGTATATAATTCAATTTGTGAAGTTGAAGTGGTTTAGAATAGCGAAAATCTACTTTCTTTGCTTAATAAATTAAGTAATATATTTCGTCTCATTTGCACAATTTATGCGGGGCGTGAGTTTATTTCGCAATATTGCCCGTAGCGGGCGAAGGCGACGACAACGGTAGAGCCTCGTATTGCTGCAAGGAAATGTCAGTATTATACACACAGAAGGCGGGCTATGTGCTGTCGCGTTTAAAAAATGACCGGTTTGTGCGAGCTGCGGTCACAATAAATCGAGGACATGATCGGCCGTATAGGATTTCGACATGAAAGTTACAACACAGGCAAATGAGCGCACGATTCAGTTTTATTGGCGATACCGTCATTGGCGATGTTGTGAGCAGGCTGTTTACTGTTAGCGCTATGATAGCAATCTTTGTGGGCGACCACTACACGGGAATGCACTCGGACCGGTACAGTGTGCGTGACCAATTGTTCACACAGCTGAAATGCATTTTGCTCGTTTTACAGTTTAATAATTAAAATGGATTGTACCTATGCTTCCGACTTTAACTATTTCGTTTGTTAGTTTTAGTGAATAGCGCGTATTAATATTGGTTTTCTCTCCACATGTATAGTTAACAGTCGAGTGGTAAAAATTACCAACTTTAGGAAGATTAGTATTCGGTTACCGCAGAGTGGACGCTCTAGCACCGCAATTGTGAATTATTCAACGTCCCACCGGCAAGGCAACTCTGATATATGTGAAGGGTAATTTTAAGCATAGGCGTAGTATTTATATAAAACATTGCTTGTAATGCAATATGCGGATGACGTAATAGAAGTACCATAAAATTATGTTTGTAGATGATGGATGAGTACTACCTACACGTATTTGTAATTCATTATGCAGGATGTCACGACTCTATGATACAAGCTTAACAATGATATTTACAATTCATTGCGCTAATTTTATTTTATAACGCCTTATAAAACTTGAACTTTTTGAACGGTAGCGTGTTAAATGTAAACAAAATACCGGCACACGGTATACACTCGTTTTTGACGAGTGAAACTTTAGCAGTATCTGACTGGAGATGGCTGCGTGCCAACCATCCTCTCGGCTTTCGCCTTACGGCTGTCCGCTTCGTATTTTTATTTCATGCGCACAATGTGATGCCATTAATTGTAGTCTCCGCTGAATTATTTGTTTCGACTCGCGCAAGTCCCAGATTGAAGTTCAACGTTCGCCATTTAACTTTTCACGGGGCTTTTTGGGAATTCTCGGATTTTATTATAATGATTTAGGTTACGTCGCCGGAGTAGTCATCCATTTTGTATTTTTTTTATGTACATGTGTAATATTTTATGAATGTATTTACATTCTCTACGTCCACTGTACATGACTGAATAATTCCAGACAAGGTTGAGGGCAATAACCATTTGGGCTAATTGCCAGGTAGGTCACGGACTAAGTCTGGGACATCACTACGTTACACAATATTAATTAAGTTGGTAAGGTTATAGTTTGTAAGCATTTACATTAAATTTTTATTGAATTGATATTCAATTATTTTTTGTGAAATTACTCCACTAGTTTGTTATAATTATTAGTACAAAGATCGAACACTCTGAAAAAATTTCTTCGATCCGGTCGGATTCGAACCGATGTCTTCTTGCATACCGTGCCAGACGCTATACCAACTAAGCCACGGAACGAACCAACGGACCTCGCGAACTTTTCTATGTGCTTGTGTCGTGTCTTTGTATTTGGTTTTTCAACGACTTTTTAGTCGTAGCGCCATCTATGAGAAAATCTATCACCCAGTTAGTACCTTTGCAGCTACCAGTCCAGGCGAGAGATGTCGCTATTCACTGTATTAATTAGTTTTTATTGAATTGATATTCAATTATTTTTTGTGAAATTACTCCACTAGTTTGTTATAATTATTAATACAAAGATCGAATACTCTGAAAAAATTCATTCGATCTGGTCGGATTCGAACCGACGTCTTCTTGCATACCGTGTCAAACGCTATACCAACTAAGCCACGGAACGAACCAACGGACCTCACGAATTTTTGCATGTGCTTGCGTCGTGTTTTTGTATTTGGTTTTTCAACGACTTTTTTGTCGTAGCGCCATCTATGAGAAATCTATGAATTCGAATCCGACCGGATCGAAGGAATTTTTTCTGAGTGTTCGATCTTTGTATTAATAATTATAGCATTTACATTGTTAAGAAACCTGTTAAAGTAGATCGTAATAATGAAAACATTACGTTAACACAACAATTACATTTGCGGTTATGTAAAAGGTGTAAACCAAACTAACAATATGATATAAACTCAGTTTTTAATGCCATTGTTTCGTTTACGCAGCCATGGTTTTGCGTTTACTACAAATTAAAACTAAACAAAGATTGCTTAAAGGCTATTGAGATCGGTGCTCTTCACGTTTATTTTTACTCTGTCGACACGACGACGTGAGCGTGAGCAAATCATCAAGATATGATGGTAAATAATTTCACACGATTTTGTAAATAAATAGTGTGCCGAGTGAAATGGGTCGTAACTAAGAATAAACAGCGAGTGCAGCGGGAAGACACGGACGGAGTGAAGATGTTTGCGCAAGATTAGACACATAAACTTATAGATGCGCGCGATACATTGTTTTGTCCCCAGGTCGCGAGGACAAGCTACTTCACCGAGTAACGCTAAAACTACTATCGTGCACAGTCCTAAGTACTGTTTTGAAAACACCGACGCGATTATGTCTTATCAATATGTCCCCTTTTTAAAGTAAAATAAATAACGATAACACAATTTGCTAATTGTGCGACCTCACGATTTCATTTCGATATCACTGTTTATTTGCTCCCTCACACTCGTTATCCAACAGCAAGTATAATTTAGCTGACATCCTTTTAAGACCCTGTACAGGAATTAAGCCAAACAACTTAACTTACCAAACTTAACTAAAAATTATTCGTTTCATACTGTTTGTAAATAGATTGAATAAATCGTTAAGGTCTGCTATTGAATTGGGACTTTTTGTAAATGTAAAATACTTAAAATTTATTCAGCAAATAAGGTAGTAGTTTAGTAGCAGTAGAGCTCCTTGTGAAAGAGTTCATCCAGGGAAGTAATGCCACTTTACCTATTTATGTTGCCAAGCAGTAATGCGAGTATTACTGTGTTCCGGTTTTAAAGGATAAGGGTGCTGGTGAAATTACAGGCACATGGGACTTGTCAACTTATGTCTCAGGGTGACGGGCAGCGGCATTGCCCCTCCGATCTTTGTGGTTTAAAGCTCTGTGTGGCATTGCAATTGTTATGAACATGTCGCTTACCACCAGCCTCACCAGGTTCATTAGGCTCCCGTCACTTGGTATTATAAAAAAGGGTACGTGGGATATAAATTAGCGTTAGTCGCAAATTAAAGCAAGTATTTTGAACTTGATTCACTGCATGGATATGTAGCGCAGGTACATAATTGGCTCACGAAATGTCGACCGCTATAACGTGTATATTGCATACATTATAAGTACAAAAACAAGCCAACGAGAAAAGATTATTTGAAAACAAATGAATAAACATTACCTGATCTACATTCTCTGACAAGTCGTAGAGGCTGAGGTTGTAGACCGTGTTCCTGTAACGAACGAAACAATTTATAGCGAGAATTAATGATAGTGATTAAATATGCACATCGCAACGAAGTGGAATAGTCGAGGAGTTGGTTAAGCGCCATGCTATTGTCGCGGCCGCGGCGCGAACGCGAATCACCTACCCTATGGGACTTGATATTCCCTTAGAAAATTCTCTTATGTTAATTGAACGATTCGATGCTAATTTCACGTAATCGACACGTTTGGAGTTTAACTATGCCGATAGAATAAATTTGTAAATTGTATAAATTCCGTTATTGGAATACCTACTGCAAAAGATGTAGAGCTTCACTGTTATTTAAACAAATTTAAATTGAAGAAATGAAGACAAAGGCCAGTTTATAAAATCGCAGCATTGCCATTAAATATTATTAAATTTGATATTTAACACCTTTAACACTAATTATTTGCGAAAGGTACAAAATTTGCATTCTTACCTGCCACCGACTATAAGAGAAAAATCGTCTTTGTCTAAAATTCTTAAGTAACGTTCTTCTGTGGAGTTGTAAGCGTGGCCGAGGAACACATCTGGTGCTTCAGCATCTGCAACAAAGCAATTCATTATCATTAGATACTTGAGCCTATAGGGTTGGATTATGAACTCATAATATTGTAAGTAAGCGGATTTGAGCGAAGTAGTCGCATGAGTTGGCATGACCCGCGATTTGCGGCCTGTCTAACCCTCGCCATTACCCTGTCTGTTGGCTGTAGTGACAGCTTTCCCTCCCGACCGACTGCGCTCTATGCCCGCGGCGAGGAATTTCGCTGCGTAATACAATATATTACTCCATTTGTGGTTATATTAATTGAAATTGTAAATTGCCTTACAGTTGTTACAATGCAGGTAGAAGTGATTTTTGCTGAGTTTAAAATTTGTTTTCTATGTTTTACCGATAATCGTATAGAAAATCCAAAACGCGTGGAATTTCGCTGAAATTGAGTTTTAAAACGAGTAGCTTTTTATGTGTTGCATTTGGGACTTTATTATAGTGGGGAATAGAATAACATTTTTTTATTGGATCGCACGAACTAAGTTCCCATTGTACAACGATTTTGAACAACAATGAGTGTTGGTGATTTCATAACAATTGGTGGGGAAATTCTCACGTGTCAGATGAGTCTCATCGGTGGCGTACACCTGCAACTGCGGTGTGGGATCTCAACTATTTATGTGTATTTTATGGCAACGATAAACTTAGCAGTAATAAAATAATATTACTGTCGAAAATTGAAATTTTTATTAAATTTGACGATACGACTTGGGTTTTAGTTATTTACTACAGTCGATATCTATTAACTACACAAAATATCCGGTTTCTTTGACGAGCTTGATGATGCAAGCTATCTTTAAAATACACGACAATTAAAATTAAAGCCAATCACACCTCTCCATTTATCTTCGTTTTTTTTTGTGATTTAAGCGTTGTTTCATGGCGTGTTCATATTAATTGATTCTATTAAATTTGATTGGAGTGCTTACAACTACATCTGCGGTTATGGATGATGTATTACAAAACGTGGCGTACTGTCGAGCTTACCGAATTTCACGTGTATCCGTGCATTGGTATCCGGCATCCATGCTTGCGCCGTGGACACTAAGAACACCAGAACCGCGCGGGCGACGGCCATCTTGGTTTAATTTCTCCTCCTTTCTACGTACGCCATCTTCCTCTGCATCCTGCAACAACATCAAAATAAATTTCAGCTATAATGTCAGCGAGTCTAGTGCTTTAAACAAAGGACTGTCGTTCGTTATTTATGAGAATGTAATTTATTCGCGTTTGTTTCCGTTTTACAAGCACATATAAAATTTACATGATACAGGACAAGATTAATAAATATACACAATTAGATACAAGGTGATGTCGTCTCAGTAGGTACTAATACTAATCGCGTTTATGAAATAATTTAGATAAAGAATCGAATAATTGGAGACTACGCAGTACTTTGAACGTGTATTATATTAATTACACTATATTTTCCGCGTAGGTATTAACCATACGATGCTTTTACGTTGGCGTTTTTATGTAAATTCTACACGATGATAAGTTAATAAAATAAGGGGTTAATAACACAGTGTTGTAGATCGCATGCAAGTTGCTTTTCTGGTTCTCGGTCACACGGGATGCGTCGCGCACGCATCCGCGCTCCTGAGGATTCGCATTCTACTTTTTACATTTTAACTATTCTCGTGATCGTGAGAAGCAGAACTCGATTGTCTGGACAACCGTGATCTGAGCGCCATCCATTTTGTAGCCAACGATATCTGGTTTTAATCTACCTTAAACTCTGATACAGTTTATTTCCAATTTTTTTCTGGAGTCCTGCGAACCTTTGTGTCAGATGTATTTTTTTGTATACTTGGCTTCTTGTTTTGTTGCTGTATGATATTATGTATGCAAAGGTAGTATAATTTTGCGTGTCGACACAATGATTACTGTGTGGGAGTGGATGTTAATTTATTCATGGATATGTGATCATCACCTAATGTAAATGAGATCTACCAAAAAGTGGTTCGCTCATATGTATACAGATATTATTGAAATTAACATGCACCTTTGTTTGGTTTTTCATTTGTGTATCATACAAACATGACATTAATGTATCAATCTGTGAATTTAGTCATGTTTAGATGTTCACCGATTTATGCATAGACCTAGAAATATGAAAGTCAGTAAGTTTTGGAAAGGTATTTTATAGGAATACCACCTGCATGCCAGTTGTAACGAGGTAGTATACAAATATGTGCGTACTATTTAGACGTAACCTGCTTGTTACTAGTATTATTACAACGAAAAGAGCGTGCCGCGCCTAAGTACCGTTAGGCCGCTGTTCCCTCGGTACATTGCAGTGGACGTGACAGCATGTAGGCCCAACAAGTATGCTAAACCGACTACAGTAATGAATTATAAATAGCTATAGACTAATTGACCATAGTATAAAATATAGGATATAAAAGAAATACCTTATTCCGTTAAAGACAAAACGTTTGATAATGTACATATATTTATTGTTATTATCAGTTAAATAAACGATATTCACATCATGCTTCATTAAAACTAATGTGTGGATGCGAAATCTGTTTCCACTCAGTTTGCATTCACTAAAAGTGAAGTTCAGCTCAGCGGTTGGTATTCAGTTCACTTGAGTTCAGCGGTTTATGTCGCGCTAACATTACGATACGTAATGCATAGTTTTCTGTAGCGTGAGTTATTAGAACAACATGTGTTATTACAAGTGCATTAAATCGATAATGGACATACACAATAGTAACATTTGCGTCAGATGTAATGAGCAACTTTGTCGCTAAAAGGGTTGCGAATTTCAATGCAGTAAAATGAACTCGATGCACGGATGTAACACAAAGGAGGGGCGATATACCCGGCATTGCACAGTGGTATTATATTTCGTTCTTCTAGCTTTCCATCTGTTTGGGACTTGACGGGGGCGTTGTTTAGCTATAGTTACGCTATAGCTCGTTAGCGTGAATTCCGTTCCTGCGATATATTACGCCTCGAACCTGCAATTTATCGGCCCTGGATCTGGTGGCACAATTACTGGGCTAAACAAACGAGCGGTTATCGAACATTGAGCATTGTTATTCTAACAAATTTTAGAACCCCGTCATTTTTCTACGGAACGTAAATAAACAATGCTTGCCGCAATGGTCTCAAATGTTCACTTCAAGAACCTAAATTCAAATATTGACGCAAAGTGCCATCTGTTACTACGATATAACAAAATTATTAAATATGGCATGCGCAATGTTACTTCGAATACGAAATAAGAAATATATAAAAATGTAAAGGAGGCTTTCAAATGAATATTTTATGGGACGAGTTTGCGCAGCGGCTAATACAGGTACACGTCGCGGTCAGTTCCCAGGTTCATAAAGCCGGTCTAGGTAGCCTTCCAGTTTAGCATCCTGCATTTTTCATACGGGTTATATTAAGCTGGACAGCTCTAGACTGGATTACGCCTGTTTTTATGCAGTAGTATAAACTTGATAAGTATGCAATTACAGGGGGGAGGTTGACACTCGAGCCCCAGGCTGTGGACGTAGCGTGCAAAGTCCCACGTGATCCCACGCGTCTCGGGAAGCTGCGGTTCTTTGTCGACCGCAATAAATAATCCAGGCGGAGAAGCCCCCGGGCTCCGGATTCGCGTAGGTACTTACTTACATAAGCGTCAGGACTACGCTAAGACGATAAAAGGCGGTTAGTCGCATTTTTCCATATCTGCATACAATTTATTGCCGCTCGTGGCGTTGTCACGCGTGAGACATGCCTCTTAGTGACGAGAAAGGGATGAGGATAACGACGTGAAAATACTACGCAACAAGCAAGACAAGAACCCTTTCCTTGTTCTTCTTTAACGACTGATTTATAAATCTTGTTAGATTTGTGTCTACAATAAGTAATATATCAAAGGTCTGTTCCTGACATGAAACTAGAAAAGAGTTGTTTTGCAAAATTTCATGTCTCGTTTTTGTTTTTTCTGTTAGGTAATTAGCATGTTGTTAACTTTCGCATGCCATTTGTAATTAACTGATGTAGAGCATCGACACGTTTCTAGGACGAATGAAATTTGTGCTAATTAATTTTAAAATAGCTACTGAATCAAATAGCTACTGAATCAAAACAGTTTGAAGGAAAAATACTGTGGTCTAGAAAATTCGACAAATTTTGCATTTTTATATGCTAGTAATGCTTTTTAAGTGGAAAATAATAATCATTTAACATTCTATATTTTAACAATGTTTACGACTACAATTGATAGAGCAGAAAATACACTATGATCTTTAATTACTACTTTTATTATTGCTTACCATCAGCAAAACTATGATAAACTCAATGATAATAAAAATTTTGTTAAAATTTTTCACGATTTGAATTATTACGTGGTCTGTCTATTAATCATTGTAAGTATTATTTTATTATAAATTACTTAGTCACTGTTTCTGATTAATAATTTATTATCTTCAGTGAATTACGCTTTTAATGGGTAGTAAGTTAGTTATTTAATGTGGATAATTTTAATCAAGTTAGGTACATTTGTGACGTTCGAATATACAATTTTATTTGTCTTCATATCTTTTTTTCTAATTAGGATTTTTCTTTCAATTTTAGAAATTAGACAGCTAAATGTGTTTTTTAAACTATTGTCCGTTTTGTACTTTTAAGTTCTATATGTTACAATCACAGTTTTCTTCACAAAGTTAGTAGAATTTCGGAACCATTTAACTTATGTTATGTATGGAGATGGATAAAAAGACATCTTAAATAATTCTATAATAATTTGCGAGAAGAATGAATGCGACCTGCATAAATTATTTTCTTCTATATCATGTTTTTTGTTTTATTATTATTATTACAGTTATTGTTCTTGTTCAATACAGTATTTGGATAAATATGTATGATGTAATAAGAAAAAGAAATAAAAGCAAGAAGGAAACGTAAAATAATATGTGCTAATTATGATGTAAGATGCTAATTAATTCCATACTGAATTGCTAATATCGCACTGTTAATACAATCGTGTATTAACTCAAAAAGTGTATTTTTCAGAATCGATCAGAAATGAATTACTCACTTCCCGTGAAAGATTATTAAAAAAGATGAATTACTCACTTCCCGCAAAAGATTACTGAAATTTATATTCAACTTTAAAAATATAGGTCAAACTTTATAACAGACATCTAAACAATGTCCTACTTACCAAATATATTTAAAAATGAAAGGCAAAAAATAATTTCATCTTTTGAGTAAGGACTGTTTTGTACGAAACTAGCTCAGAAAAAGTTTCTCTCATTTTGAGTTAAGTAGATATCTTGGAATTGTTTCTCACAATACTCTAATGACGGTTGTATTGAAGTGTAGAGAATAAAATTTTACGTTCAACAATAGTATAATCTTAAATTTCACATATTTTGAGTTGCTACACTATTGTAACAGCAGTGCGATATGTCAAGTAGAAGTTGTCAGTGGTCAATGACACTTCCAGTTGATTTAAAATTACTCTTGATGTTCTATAAATTTGAGTATTTTTGCAAGGTTCTTTACCGAGGATCTATCTAAAGCAGGCCTTATTTTCCCAATAAACAGACCGGTTTTGTCACCATTGATAAAATTTTTATTCCATTGATATAATATGTAAATAATTAATGATGGGTCTGCATATTATTTTTTTACAACTTTTTTTATTTATAACATTTCGTGACGGGACGAAGAAGTCGTGCGCCTGATGATAAGCTACGCGCCTGTCCATAACAATTGCAGTATCACTCAGCTTTAAATCGCAAAGATCTGAGGGGCACTGCCACTGCGCCCGTCACCCTGAGACATAAGTTGATAAATCCCATGTGCCTGTCATTTCACCAGCATCCTTACCCTTCAAAACTGGAACACAGTAATGCTGACGTTACTTATTGCTTGGCGACAGAAATAGGTAAGGTGGCAGTACTTCCCTGGACGAACTCTGTCACAAGGAGCTCTACTGCTACTAGTATTCATAAATTTGAAAAACCCAAAGTGACTAAGATATACAAATCATATTCCGTTGTACTAGAGTTACCTATATTTGAGAAAACTGTAGTTTAAGTTTTAAGTAGTCAGACCAACGAAAATACTGAGAATGAATTATGAAACAGTCTGTTCTAGAATTATAGCATTTTAAACCAAATTAATTTTAGCTTTTTGACTCAGTAACAATGTACCAATAAATATATCCGTATTTCAGAGGAAAATGGAGTAAAAGCCAAACTACAAAGTTGGCGTTAGGCGAGTGAAAACATATCTTTATAAATGTTTTGGTTCATATTCTTTTCAAGCTGTTTTTACGTAAAATTTTAATTTTTTTTTACGAAAAATGTTTCATTGACTAAACAGATGGAAAGCGCTTGAAAATGTAAGCCAATTACATCAATAGATAATTTTTGATAAAAGTGGCTTTCACTCCTTTTCTACCCTTAAGTGTCTTACAGTCTGCAATAAGCATCCACCGGCATTTGATTTTGTTTTACTTAATTACAATTTAAAACAACTTGCAACGGAATTTACAAATTACCTACTTTAAAACTTATTTTAATTTATATTTAAAATAAAAAGTTTGTTGGTAAATTGGGTAGAAAAAACTTTCAACGCATTTAATCCTCAGTTAACCCATTGACCCCGGTTACAATTATTAAATTGACAATTCGAGTGCGCTGGCGCATCCCATCTGGCGTTTTCATTCACGTATCACATTTGCTCATTATCTTAATGAGTAGTCTATGTAGTATGACGCATACAAAATTACTCAGGCTCAGGATGTTGATAATATATTTCATTAATAACGACTGCAATCTACTAACGTGCGTTCTAATTAAGGTAATAAACCTTACCTTAATAATAAGCCTTAATGTACCTTCCTATATATTTTTATACACGAACGGTTTGAGAACTAATGAACAATTTCCTTATCATAGCACCTATAGATAATTCTGTAATAATGAAGAGATTATTAGAAATTGTAAAAACGATTAGATTATAACTTAGCACAACAGTCTTTACTATAGATTAAGACTGGTACGCCTCATAGCTACTGAAGGAATTCTTATAAAAACAATTAGCCCCGTAGATTGATTGTACATACGAACGTTTCTTATCTCTTTTAAGTTTAGTTCAATGAATTTCTTTAGAATTATGTGCATCCGTTTCAATATATCTGCTATCAACAATCACTCTAAGTTACAATTTAATCGTCTTTACAATGTACAACCTTCTCTACATTATTACAGAAAGATCTAATTTACAAAACAACTGTCTATCGTGTCGCACTTTCTAATTTTAAAGCTCTGGCTGGTCCTTAGAGCGGACGAAAGTTTAAGGCTTGAGATTAGATACAATGTAGAAAACACGCAACAAAAGAGGACAAAGTAATAAAGTGTGCTTTGTACTGTACAATTTAACTCCACGGGGACCTCGAGTCGTTGGAGCGGGAACGCTTGCTAGCACAGTGTCAACAATGTGCTCTCTCCTTCGCTCCCCTATACCCACGGTTTTTGTTTGCCGCCTTCACAACTTGGAGCGAACCGTTTTCCACAACACCACATACGCACGCATGCATGCTCCATCAAACTCACCAAGTTTAATTAAATCCACAGGCAATCCAATATCATTGGTTTTTGTCACACAAATCATCGCACCTTGAAGACAGTTATTCAAAATCACTTCCCACAAATTGCTAAATACACTTCGTTATGTAGCATAGCCAGATTATACACTCAGCACGAAGAAATCACAACATAAGTGTGTGTCACTTTTGGTATCACAAGATTTGAAACCGGTTATGAAGTAGGACTGACAGACTTGGTTTGTGTTTAGAGCGCGCTGACGGGCTTTGCTGTTTGGGACATGCGCGTACAACACGATCGGTTGCGACGCGCTTGGCAGGGGCACTAGCGCGCCGCGCCGGTCTCCCCTCTCACGCTGCTTGAACTTGCCCGACAAGGTTCTCTCTCTACATGCGCGTGCGCCGATGCCACGTTTACTCCCGCTATAGAATAAAGCGTTGCCAGATCTACAATATTTTTTGTTTTGTGTTGACGCTACTAAATGAGGGGCCATAAAATAGAAACGTAGGGCATTGTATAAAAAACTGGAGGGTAGTATTTGAATAACATCGAACATTGCATTAAATTGTATATACTTGACGCGGGTTATGAATTATAGATTTAATTTAGATGCTATAGAAATCTTTTGTTAAAAGGTAGCTCGACGTTGATATCAGTATCAAATGGGCTAACCTACTTTAGAGATTTAAACGTAGCAATAATCACCAAACAAATCAATTATTTTGTTATAAAAAAACTGGATAAAATAATTTATACCACACTAGCTCAGCACGATATGAGGAAATATTTTTCAAACAGTGCAAAGTTTGTACATTTTGCTAATGGCAATAGTCCCCGTAGTACCCATCTGGTAACGTTTTTATTCTTCACGTGCGCCCCTCGCTGTGAGCCAGGTAGAGACGCGAGATTGAAAAAAAAAAACACCGTGTAGAGTCGACCGTCCGTAGTAACTTAGAATTAATCGTGCCGCAACGTGGCCTTCCTACTGAATATCTTTAATAAGTATGCATATTACGAAGACATTACTTCGGCTTTCAAATAACACAGTACAAACGGATGGGGTTTAGTTTTAAAAAGTTACTTTGACGTTTCATCCACAAGCAAAGCTATTAACATTTACTACGTACTTATTTCAAAAGTTTACCATTATGTGGGTCAAGAGAGAAAAATTACAAAGCAAAGCAAAAATGAGAATTTATAGCTGAAACATGTCCCTCAAGGGTCACAATACCAGCTGACGGGCATAACAGCAGAGGAAATAAAATATTGGTCATAATGCCGAGACAACTGCTTTGACCCTTTTGTTTACGAATCATTCTTATTTTTGAAAAATATTGCTTGCTATATATTACTAATATACAATGTAAAACGAGTTTTATAGGATTAGAAAGAGAAAGTTCTTGCTTTGACATAAATTTAATGCAATTTTATGGATTTAAAACCCATCCACTTGGAAATGATAAAAAGATACCTTTCTTATTTGACATTCACCTGTTCTTTCTGTTTTAAAAAGTTTTTATTTTGTTCAGCGAGTAAAAGTTACATTAACCCACCGTTAACTAATCGTAACCTTTTATAAATTTTTAATGGAGTTTCTTTCGAATAACTAGTCTCATAAACTGAAACAAACTACCAGATAATTATAAATTCTTATTTTTTGTATGTAACGTATTGTTCGCATCAAACTTAAGATTTTGAGGAATTGTCCAATTTTATGCAGCACCATTTATTAAGGCCATGTTTTGTGTAACTCGCTCCATTACGTAGAATAAATAATCTTTCATAGTTTTCAATTTTACCACACGCAGAAACTGTTTCTGAGTAAAAAGGAACAGTAGGAAATCAATGTGACTATAGAATTATATTATTATACAACTGGGTATTGTGGGAATATTCGTACGTGTCAGGTGTTACCTGGGCAGGTACCTGCTTTACTCCATTATACGTAACAGCCTTCTGCCACTGCTACTAATACCATGTTCCAATGATTTCTTTTATTATAATTTTTTTTATAATATAATTCGTTTTGGAATACGAACAACCAAAAAATTATAAAACAACATAATAAAAATGAGGTAATTATAAAGGTAAACCAATCAAAATCTAGGAAGTCCACAAAGTTGCAAATTTATTGAAGAGGTAAGAAGCGTAACGCTTCTTTAATAAGTACCAAGATTATATTCAAAATTTCCTATTTACGTAGTTTAAAACTATTGTGGAATAAAAGTTTATTATTCAATTTCTCCTACAATGGATGATGAAAATCCATATCAGTGTTCCATTTCCCTCTTTCAGGTTATAAACATCACTTTAAATTATAAATGTGAACAAATATACATTTATTAGAGCAACTCATACGCTTCCTATTCATTGTTTTTAAGAGAATCTATTTACATCATTCATTATTTTAGTAGCAGTAGAGCTCCTTGTGAAAGAGTTCAGGGTGGCAACCTTACCTATTTTTGCCGCCAAGCAGTAAGGTTTTGAAGTGTTAAGGGTGCTGGTGAAATTACAGGCACATGGGACTGTCAACTTATGTCTCAGGGTGACGGGCGCAGTGGCAGTGCCTCTCAAGTCTTTGTGATTTAAAGCACTGAGTGGCACTGCAACTGTTATGGACAGACGCATAGCTTACCACCAGACACACGACTTGTTCGTCTTGTCCCTTGATACCTATTATAAAAAAATTAATAAAAATTAAGTTGTGATGCACAATGATTCAGTTTCATGTTTTCCAGTGCGATTTATTTATCTAGAAGATAAAAGTATTTAGAATTTTGAATTTTCGTAAATGCTATGATAAGAAATCAAAATTGCTGTCTTTATCGTAGAAGACATTAGGTGTATCTTACGAGCACTGTAGTAGCAGTAGAGCTCTTTGTGAAAGAGTTCATTCGGGGAAGTACTGCCTCCGGTTTTACAGCACCCTTAACCTTCAAAACCGGTTTTCGGTTTCCGGTTTTGAAAGTGTGCTGGTGCAATTACAGGAACATGGGACCTGTTAATTTTTGTCTCAGGGTGACAAGCGCAGTGGCAGTATCCCTAATAATCTTTTACACAAATTTGCGATTTAAAGCTCTGCGAGGTACCTACTGTAACTGCTATGGACAGGCATGTCCCTTGACACCAGGGTTGTTTGTCCGTCACTTGATATAGAAAAAAATACACATAAGCAGTAGCACCACAACAATATTGTAAGTTTGATATACAACTTGAACTACTCAAACAGGTGGTAACATTTATAACTTTGTCCTACTTCCATTTTGTTTGCTCTGCGAGTGTCCTAGGTCGTTATCTGTTTGATGGACAAATTCCTAAAGGACTGGTATAGTTTCCTTGGATCATGTAGTAATTTTTCTGTGAGCTATTAATTACGCAGTCATCTTTTACAACAAGAGAGAGCTTGTGCTCAAAGACAGCCATACGCTGTGGGCGGTCCGTATACTCTGCCTAATTAAGACACCGTAGTGCCTACAATGTGCCTACACAATACTCATGCCTCGGACTCGGGTGGCCCCTATTTATCGCTTCTCCAACATTCATATGTCAGATACCACATAGATACGTGCGATAGCAAAAAATAACTGCATAACATTTGTTTATCTGTAAGTTTGTTTGTTACTTCCAAATGGATTGGTCTCAGCGGATCGCCCCCGTTAGAAATCTCTATTTATAAACGCCAGATGGTAAGACACTCGGATTTGTAGTAATCCTGATTGGAAATGAGCACATTCGAAATGCTTATCTATCTGTATGATCAAGGGAAAGATTGTCGTTACGATTACTAGGCAAATAGCTGACCTCAGGTGATGGCCCTGAAATAGATATAATATGAGGGAATGTATCTGATAAAGATGTCATGATTAACTAAACTGAGGTCCTATTATGGGACACAAACGAATGGAACAAAAGGCAATACCCATAATTGATGTTCGCCTGCAACGATGTAATGTTCAATGCCCAACTTTCTCCAGAATAACGTTTTCCGAAAGATAGGCAGGATGAGGTTACAGCGATGGCTGATAGCAAGCAGGCAGTACGGGCTAGTTTGTATAGGTTATCTACTGTAATAGACAGGTTCTATACATATTTATTGCCATTAGAGTGTATGGTATGTCGCCTCTTACGAATTGCCTTTTAACCTTTAAGGAATTATTTATTTAGGTATAGCTTTCAACGTTGAACTAGGAACTTTACTGAAGGATACCATTGTGCACTTTGCTCGAGTTGAATTATCAGATAACAATAAGAGGTTTTCTTAACAAATGTTATTTGTGGAATGACATTCTAAGAAAGTTATTGCACCGAAATTACTTTAAGTCGCTGTACTTTAGCTCCGAATTACGCTATCTGATACAGAACGGTTTACGATCTCGGTGGAGCCTATTTGCATATCAGTGGGTGCGGGTGTGGAGTGCGCCACCGCCCGCGCCCGCGCACCCGCCGCTGCAGGGGGACAATATATCTCACCCAAAGACGTCGCTATCTCCGCCTATTGCGCAGAATAGTACCGAGAAAGATGCGGAATACTGGATCACTGCTACAATAAAAAGTCAGGCTAGAAATTCTTTCTAATTCCATACAATAACATGCCTACATATAATAATAAATATTGAAACTGTATTTTGTTAAGATTCAGTTGTGAGTACATTTTCTAAACAAGTAGCTGCTAAAAATAAACACGTTGATAACCCTGTAGTTTGCAATATCTTCGATAAGGAGAAAATAGTTATCTCCGGTGCGCTGGGAGCTACGAGCGGAGGGTAGGTCGTCGGCGGTCGGAGCGTGCGATATCAGCTAGATGGGGCTTTGCTAACGACATCGACCGACATTTCACTCCGCTGAGAAAACCCGGCTACATCTTTTCTTCGCGGACCGCCCAGATAAGACGCATAGCCCATTTGTCATTACCATCTCGTGTCAGTTGGTTCGTTGCGCTCAAGTTCATAACTTCCCGCTGAAATATAGCAGTAGAAATGCGACATAAAAAATCTTATCTACTAAAAACTCCTGTGTGTTTAAATCTGGTTCCGTGTATTATCGAAATGCAGCCGATAAAAGGCCGTGATGATGGACATGAGAGTAGTGTTCCTCAATTATAATGACCTTGATACAATACGCGTGACCATTGTCGGGAATGGTATGATAATTACATCACAAAAGAGGCCGAAGTTGTTTACAGCCCGACCTTAAACTGATGTGAACAAAAAACTAAGACGTAAAAATAGGTACCTATATATACCTAATTGACCCTACAAGTAATAATAACAAAAATAATATTTATCTACGTAACATACGTTACATGCAATATGCAGAACTAAATTGTGTTAGAAAT